GTGGACTGGCCAATGAGAGGCATGGATTTTGAGCGGGAGAAACTAATTTACAGCTCTTTAAACAGTGTTTGAAGTCAGATTGAGAAGGATGATAGTGGGGGCTGGTTCGAATCTTCTTGTCGGTGAAGAACCATCTGGCAATTTAAAACCCCTATACAACGTAACATCTCTGACCAGAACTGTAATTTATATGGAAATGTCAAAAGGCTAAAAGGGGTCTTTTAAGACATAAACAGTCCAACGCTCCGCATTATCCTACGCAGACGCTACATTCCCCAAATAACAAATAGGGAACCATATGGAAACACTCTGTTTGCTGGGATTGTATATTGTCACGCTTCGGCTACTGTGTTGGAACCAGGAATCGAGGAGACGTCGGAGTACTTCAACATAGAACCATCTTTATTCAGCCAAATAAACAGACATAAAGGCCAGACGCACACGTAGCAGGGGGAACAGATGTTTAACAGCACACCAAGAAACTCTGGGAAACACAGGGTTTAAATGGACAGAAACGAATGGGACACACCTGGGAACAATATGAACTAATTAATGAAACACAACCGGAGACGAATTCACATGACGAGGACAGGTACAGGAAGACCAAATAGGGACATGGAAACAAACATGTGACATATATGTTTTTGGAAAACAAAAAAGCTGAATTTTTCATTAATGTAATGTTGATTTTCTGTAAATCTTTTATCCATAAATAAGTGTATGAAGACAACAAACACTAAAGAGATTTTGTAGTTATTTCTGTCATTGAAATATATATAAAGACTAAACAGGCCTGCCAATTTTCTAAGATGATTAGAGACTTTGGCTTACTGAAAGATGAAAGAATAGATCCATGTTTGTACCCTTTCAGGGGAAACACAGAAGTTAAGTGTCACATTCATCTGACGATATTACAGTAAACAACCCCCCCCCCTCCCCCACACACACACACAAATAATAGTAGACTACTTAAATGTCAGATATTGCTCTTCTTACCAGTGATGATAACTCTTAATTTGGCAGCTCCCTAATCTGCTTCTGGAAAACTGAAATATGTCTTGAGGTAGAGCGTCTTGATGGCAGATATATACGACTCTGGAGGCCGTTCAAAATCCTGCTGTGCTACGCACATAGTTTTCCATTAAATGACATATGTCCCAAATTGTTTATATACATAACTTCACCCTAGGCTGGAAGGTTGTGTATTGTTGCTCTTTAAGCAAAATATTTGTCTTCCTGTGGCTTGAATGAAGCATATATGCTTTATTTATAAAGCTATGATAATATAGATTGAACTTTCTCTTTTTATTTGCTCTGTTTTTTCAAACACCGAATTTCAAATTCATCAATGCCACTTTGTTTATCCATGAAGTGAACAAAAACAAAGAAAGACACAATTTCAGTCCTGTTTCATCAAAAACCAACAGATGGCCTTGGAATTGAGTCACTGAGTGTCTCTGATGCCACCTGGGCGGGGAAAAATTACATAAAATTGGATTTTATGGTTACAGCCACTAGAGGGGCCTATAGAACCCTATGGAGATTTTTAAATGAGCAAAACAAGTGAAACATGAGAAATGAAAATGAATATAATCTTAAGGCTTAAATTCGGTTGTTTATGGATTCAAATATATATTGAAACATTACAAAATCCAAATTTTGTAAAAAAAAATTTTTAAATCTAACTGAATTATAACCTAAAATATTCATACAATTTCATAAGTATGAAATAAATATATAATATATTTTTTAAAATATAAATATGATATAAACTCATTGGTCTCCACCACATCACTCAAATCTAACTGTTAAGTTAAAAAAAAGGAAAAATGACAGCAGAATCCCAGCAGAAACATGAAAAATATTACAATGTGTTCTAAGAGAGTGTGTGTTTGTGCATGTGTATGTGTATGTGAGTTTTTTCTGCATTGGGGATATTCTGTAGTCTCAACCCTTCGTTTGGGTATAAATCTTTACTGGATTGTCTCAGATTTTGTATATATAAAAAAATCAAATGTAATGACAAATGCAGTTTTCTCGTAAATTCCATTCATTCCTATGCGGGTCAAAATGACCCGCAAGGGACACTTTTGTTACTTTTTTTATTGCACCCATTTAAACTCCTCGAATCCACTCAAATTTTTTTGTGTGTATTCCCGGTGCAAGTGTGACAAAAGTAAAGACATCTTGGACCGGTATGATCAACATACAATTTTTAGAATTAAAAAAAAAAACTTTTTGGGTCAAAATGACCCGAGGGACGGATGACGGTTTAGCTGTATTGGACTACTGTGTTACAGGAAGTGTACTATTGGTACCAACAACTAGACAACTAGTCTCATTACCCATTTTGAGAAGATAGTTTATACATTTGATAAAGTGTATGACATCTCTCACTGTCATTTGAAGATATGAAATATGGTATGAGGAAAGATACATTTTAAAGTATTTTCTGAATAACTGTATAATTTCATCAAAACATAATACATTCATAAATTCAGATCACATCACACTTCACAGTGTTTATAAATTCATTCAAATGAGTTTCATAATCTCTGGTCAGGGTAAAACAAAATAGTGGTTTGATTTGTTTGTAAAATATAAATTTCTTTCAAATTAAAGATAAACCTCACTCTTTGGCCTAAAAGGCACATTAAAAGGGGTCATGAACTGCCTTTTTTATTATGTTGTACTGTTCTCTGAGGTCCACTTCTAATGTTATCAAGATTTTTTT